TTACATCTAGGGCTATTTTGTATTTATAAGTATTGTCATTTATTTTAGTGCTAACAAAATGAAAACCTTTATTATTTTCTGGTTGTGGGTTAGGTTTAGGAGAGTCGTCGTTAGGTTTTTTATCCTCATCAGGCAAATCATCATCTTTTTCCTCCGGAGTTTTAGGGTTTTTAGTGGGTTGGTCTGGTTTGGGTTTAGGGTCATCAATTTTTTCAGGGATTTTTAATTCTTGACTAATGGTTTTAATATTTTGCTCTAATTCCTGAATAGTTTTCTCTTGTTCTGAGGGTTGTTGCTGAGAAAAATTATTTAATTTATTTTCTATCTCAGATAATTTGGCGGAATATTCAACTTTTTTGCTGGAATTCTCAGGCTTATTGAGGGTATTTTGTATTTGAGATAATTGACTTTGTAATTGTTGGACTTTGGTTTCTTTACTCTGGCTTTTAGTTTCGGTTTTGGCTCCTTCTTTTGGTCAAACCAAATAAGCAACGGTTCCGATTACTGCTAATGTAATTATTCCACTAATTAGATAAATTATTGTTTTTTTTTTTTTTTTTTTGAGAATTATTCATATATTAGTATTTTAATTTTAAAATTTAAAAAGTCTTCTTTGTGGTTTTGGAAGTAAGTTGGTTTATTGGAACGAGATATTATTTGAAATTTTACCATATATGTAAACTTAATTATTATATACTTTTATTCTCTGGTAGAGTTTTTTATATTCACGATTAGGTTAAAATTGAGTATTATATCCTAGAAATTTTATCTCATTTATGTTTCACCTCGTAACTAATTTTCAGCCGAAAGGAGACCAGCCTAGTGCTATTAAGAAAATAGTAGAAAATATCCGCCAAGGTCAAAAAGAGCAAGTGCTTTTGGGAGCTACTGGCACTGGCAAAACTTTTACCATGGCTAATATTATCCAACAAACTAAAAAACCAACCTTGATTTTGGTTCATAATAAAACCCTCGCCATGCAAATCTATCAAGAAATGCAAGGTTTTTTTCCTCATAATAAGGTAGAATATTACGTATCTTATTTTGATTATTACCAACCAGAAGCCTATAAACCTACTACTGACCTTTATATTGGCAAAAAAGTTCAGCGAAATGCCAGCATTGCCAAAATGCGTTTGAAAACTTTAAATGCTTTGGTTACTGATAGACATGTAATTGTAGTGGCTTCGGTGGCGGCCATTTATGGTTGCTTTAACCCTACCGCTTACCGTAAGGTAGTTATTGATTTAAAACAAGGTCAAAAAATAGATAAAAGTTTAATTAAAGATAAATTATTCCTTCTAGGGTATAAGCATGATAAAAAAATCAATCCAGGAAACTGTCAAATTGAAGAAAATAGTATTAGTTTTATGTTGGGTTGAGAAGAAAATTATTATTTTAAAATAAATACCCAAGAAGATGAAATTCAAAAAATAGAAAAAATAAACAAAGAGACTGGCGAAAGGGTAAAGGAATTAACCGAAATTTCTATTCCGCCTAGTCAAGATTATGTGGGAGAAGAAGGGGAGGAATTAACTGAAATTTTAGCGAAAATCGAGGGAGAATTGGTCGAACAAAAAAAGAGTTTTTATCAGGGAGGAAAATTTTTGGAAGCCGAGAGGTTAGAAAAAAGGGTTCAAGATGACTTATCTGATTTGCGAGAAAGGGGCTTTTGTCCCGGAATTGAAAATTATTCCCGTTATTTTGATGGGAGAAATGAGGGCGAAACTCCTTTTGTGCTATTAGATTATTTCCCCAAAGATTTTTTAACTATTATTGATGAATCTCACATTACTC